GTGTTTGTCGTTTTATACAGTTCATTGACCTCCTTTCTGTGCGATCTTATGAATCGCCATATCTGCTTTTGAAGCCCGTAGAAATCACCTTCCAGGCGTTTGAAGGACATTTCCCAGTGACCGTTCGTTATTTTTCTCCTTAATTTTTTAGTTTTGCTCCTAACTTGCTTATATTCATTATATGATTCTGGCGTTAGCATAGTAGAATATTTTAGGTAGGCTTTTCTTTTTTCTTTGCACTGTTCTTGGACTTCTGGGCGGAACCCTGGTGTCTTGTGGTTGATTGCTTGGTTCACTTTTCTAGTTCGTTCTCCAAGTGCCTCCCTTGCTGAATTCTTGATATTATTCTTGATTCTTTCCCAAGCTAGATTGATGTCGTTAGCATTTAAAATCGGGTTTTCTTCAATTTTTTCAACCCGGGGCCTACCCTGGGTAAAAGAAACCACAAGCTCACAGAAACAGACAGAAATGGGAGACAGATTAGAGAAAATTTATTAAAAATTCCAGCACACTTTAAATTGCAACGTATTGCGTTAAGCATATGCGCGCGGGGTTCATTTTGAAACCAAATGGAATAATTATGTCTAGAAATACACTTTTATATTTTTATGAATGGACCCGCCGGTCCCCAGTAGTTACCCGAACCGTTTTTTTGTGCTGAAGTAATTGCTTCAGTAAATCTGGGCGGCCGAGTGTGTCCATAAAATACTGCACAGAAATGCGCTCAAATAAATCGGAATAAAACGCGAATGTATCAGGATGGTAATGGAAATGGTGGAAACCCCATTATGGGTGCCAAGGCGCAGTTCCTCCTGAGATGGGGTCGATTTTGATATAGTTTCTAATGGAAAAATTCCGGAGTGGTCGGCTGGATTTCCATGAAACTTTTCAGGATTTTACGATTTAAGTTTGCGCCGCACTCAGCATACATTTAGAACAATCCTTGCTACCGTTGGAAAGTTGCGAGTCTGCACTTTTGTTCTCCAAACTTGTCTGAATGGTTATCTGCCGTTATTTAAGATCGTGTCGGAATCAATCAACTCACACATTTTTTATTAATTCTACGTTTGGCTAGTTGTTGAAATTTTATTTTGCAAAAAAAATGGAAATATTGAAAATTCCCGAACACTCTGTATAATGCTGTGCTTGTTGAGCAGAAAACAATGCATCCAGCACCAATTAAACAATCAATCTCGGGTTACTCCGGCATGGGAAGCTGCATCTAAATTAAATTGATTTCAATGTTCTGATCGAGACTAAACCAACTCTTTGATTGAACTGCATGCTCTACGCGGTGGGTTTCGGAATGATTGCGCCAATAACTCAAAGGGATCTCGAAATTAAACGAATATATCAATTTTGAATAAACGCGCGTATGTTTCAGCATGTTTCAAATTGCCACCGACAGTTTTCGAATTAATAAAATATATCGGATGAAAATCGACCAGTGAGAGATGCCGAATATATTTCCGAACGCTGACGGCAGTTTACTAATTGGCAATTCGATATTTAGCATTATCGAGCAATTATTTTTTGTTTATCCATAACATATTGAAATACACGTTTCGGTCGATTTTTGCCCAAGAGATTCTTTCGGATGACTGCGCAAACATCAACTAACAAGACTGGGTTGGTATAAAATTTAATTGTACATACTTTCTTGACTGTGTTTCAATTCCTGGGCTTCAGTCATTTATTGTCTATTTATCAATTAAAAAACGTTTCGGTGTTTTCCACCATCATCAGTTTCAATGTGTTGCGTTGTTGCTACTTTAAGCCTTGGCATATATTTGGAGTATTAATTTTGTCCATTTTGCACACAAAGCGAAATACTGTTCGAAACAGTCAAGGCTTAAAGTAGCAACAACGCTACACATTGAAACTGATGATGGTGGAAAACACCGAAACGTTTTTTAATTGATAAATAGACAATAAAGGACTGAAGCCCAGGAATTGATTTTGATTTGGAATAAAATTTAATTTAAATTGAATAAATCTGCCATGTCAGGATTAAATGTGATTTTGAATGCGATGTCTTTGCGCCG